ATAAGTTTTATACTCAGGACAGAACCCAAAGGGCTACCAAAATGTTCAGTTTTTATTATCATCTTGGTGAGAGAGGAATCAGCAGTCTTTAGCACACAAAGTGTGTGCAAATCCAAATACTCAGTTAACAGGTAAAACGTGGAAAGGGAGGCCAGATATTGATTATATGAGCAATTAGGAGATCATCAGCTATTACCATCAGTGAACTGATTAAGATAAGGATGTAGCTACAACATCAATGAAGTCTGTAAGCCCTACTTTTTTCTAATGCAGGCATCTGGAATTCCCCTGCAGGACGTATGAGACCTGCCTGTCATCTCTTGCACTCTGGGTCTCCTAGGGTGTTATTATCATAATACCATGTTCTTAAACAACTTTTATCCAATTATCACCCCACTCCCTAAAATTAGTGACTAAATATTGTACTATGAGAAGACAACTGTCTGAAGGGCATCCATCCCATAACACCTAATGTTAAACTGTTAAAAACTCATTTGTTCCCAGGGTCAACCAGTTTGGTTGACTAGAGGGCGCTGTGGGGTCAATTCCCTCTCTGAAGCCCATCGGGAGATTCCTTTTCTGAGATTTGAGAGGCATAGTGACTCCCTAAACCGTACCTGCTCCACACCAGGTAAAAACCACCCCTGTATTCATCTACAGAAGATGACCTTGGATCTAAACCAGGCCCTGTCTGCACCCTTGAAGAAAAGTCTGGTAGACATCAGTGAACAGGCCATGAATGAAGTCAACATTATGGCACTTATACATAGCCCCTCATTTACTAGTAACCTCACAAAATGCAGGAGCTGCTGTGATATCTGAAGACCTAGGGTGGAGGAGTGGTCTTAGGACGACCATTGAAGAGAGTTTTGGGGTTGTTTTATTTTAACCTTGTTTCGTACACAGATTCTGGTCCCCGAATGAAAACCAAGCCATGAAACATCTTCAGCTCTGATAGAATTGCTTTCAATTCAATTTAGAAGAAATAAACAAGGCTGGCACATTGCTGTCACGCTGCCACAGAAGCAAGAACAAGAGAGCATCGTTGTTCACTACGATACCTGTGTAGACCTCAGGGTGAAGAGGAGAACAGTCATCTGTCTCACACAGACTTCCTGCATCTCAAGATTCAAAGTCTGCAGGGAGAGTTAGGCGGGAGGGAGGTGATGTGGGGGTGAGGGAGTCGGGGAAGCATGTCCCTATGTACAAGCTCAGAAGCCAAAGAAGAACATCATCTCATCAGTTATCCTATCACTTTCTGCCTTAGTCCTTACAGACGAGGTTTTCTTACTGAGCCTGCCTGGAGTTAGGCTAGTGGTCAGGAATCCTGGTGGTTACAACGTATGCTTATTGTATCCAGCTTTTTCACCTGGGATCTGAAGATCTGTGCCCAGGTTCACACACAGCACATGCTCTTACCCACATGTCTACAGCCCTGTATCCTACATGCATGTGCTTTTTCTATTCCCTATCACTGTCCGTAAGCTAAGTGGAGCCGATATCAATATTCACTCTGTAGATTTAAGCACACACACACACACCCTGACCCTCCCCACACAATAAAAATATCTTCACTACCCCTGACATTTCCAGGATTGGAACTAGAGTTGAGGCCAAGGTAGTAGATACAAAGTCACTTAACTCTATTTTCAAAGACATCTCTAACTCTAGAAAAAATATTAAGATGTTCTAGGTTCAAATCTCAGCTCAGTCACTTCCTTCCCATTAATCCTCCCAGGGGCTCCTGAGCTTTCTGTTTCTTATAAGACATACTGTTAAACCGTGAATAAATGGCTTTCCTCAGTAAAGTACTGAGCCACAATAGGTAAGTAATGGGTAGGAAACGGCAAGTTAAAAATCTGCAAAGCATCTTATTTATGTCATTAATCCAGAGGTTCAAGGTTTAAGGCTTACAAAGTAAAATCCTTCCCGTGCTGTCTTCTCGAGCAGGGAAGCATCGGGTGGAAAGTGGACATGTGTAATCGCTCACACATTAATGACTGGCATGTGGCAGCCGCCACAAGACACACAGATGCAAAGTGACATTAATGGAGAGATTTGCCTGTGGCCATGTGCTCAGGGAGGGGGGAGCACCATACAACCCCTTGCCTTGAGCTTGGGTATGAAATCAAATGTCAGCTAAGATTAATTAGAAGCCTGGAGTTTTGTTCTACCCTGTTGATAGAAAAAGTATATTTCCATAATGGGGGGTAGTGTGTATGTGAGTTGCGGATCTAGCCGGCACAGGAGGGGAGGGCTCCTGTATTGTGAACACTGCCTGTGTGGCTTTGTCAGGGCAATTTCTTTCTGCTCAAGTGGCTTGCTTTTTAACATTTTATTATCTTAACAACAAAAACATGCTGCAAGCAATAATTATTTATTATGCTAATTCTTTAGCTTTCTTCCTGAGATTCCTGTAAGACCATTAAAAACTAGCCGTGCCCTTGAAACAAACCATGAGTTTATTAATACTCAACCAATTAAGGGGGGGGGGGGAAGGCGGAGGAAGAGAATGCCCGCACTGGCAATTATTAACTAAACCATCCGTTTGCACACTTTCCTCGCTGTAGACTTTAACTCAGGGATGCATCCTATATATTTACCTGACTGGAGATTCAAGGGAAATATGTTTAAACAGTTACAAGGGTATAGGAAAGCTAAAGGAGACAAGAGGGAACCTGCTGTGCTGGCCTGGAAACATTTCAAATCAAAGTTATAGGGGAATCCATGTGCCTTACCTCCTCTCACAAGGAGAGAGAGCATGCAGGAGCACTCCCCAGCCCTCTGCAGGAGGTCCTGGATGCACAGGGTGCAGCTATCCTCCTGCTTCAGCTCCCACTGCTATGGCTACTTTGTTTTAGTTTTTTTGTTTGTTTTGTTTTGTTTCATGTTTGAGGGTTTTTGTTTTTTGTTTGTTTGTTTGTTGTTTGTTTTTTCTAAGACAGTATCTCTCTATGTTTCTCTGTCTCTCCTGAAACTTACTATGTAGACCAGACTGGCCTTGAACTTAGAAAGATCTGCTTGCATCTGCCTCCCCAGTGCTAGTATTAAAGGTTGTGTGCCACCCCTATTTGGATAAGTGCCTCCTAAAGGTCCTCTTCTGGGTTGGATTATGCCTTCTTGGTTAAAGGCTTGGTCCCAGCACATAGCCTTGTTTGGAAGCAATAGACTCCTTCAGGCCAGGGCATGTAGGAGAAAGTATGGCACTGGTAACATGCCTGAAAAGTGGAAGCCAGAACCTTTCTTTCAAAGCAGTGTAGCAAATAGTTTCTCCCAAATTTCTTCCATTATGATATGCTGCCCCATCACAGATGGAAACCATCCAAGTCAACCAACCATATAATGAAGCCTCTAAAACCATGGGCTGAAACATGTAGCCCTGCTACTTGCTTTTGTAGACCAGACTAGCATCCAGCTCAAGAATCTTACAGCCTCTGCCTCCAAGTGCTGGGATTAAAAGCATGTGCCATACAACCCAGCCCCTTTTCTATTTTGAAGTAGATTATTTGGAGTCTGCTGTTACAGTAAGAAAGAACTGACATGCACACACTTCACCACCTCTGGCCCTAGAATTCAACTTTGCCCTTTACTGCACACCTCTCTCCATCAAAATCACTTTCATCATCAATATCAATATCAATATCAATAACACATCCCAATACTTTAATGTTCCAGTTTGTAGACCATGCACTCCATAGTCACATCGGTGTGAGAACGAGTCTGCTACCTTGTTATTACAAGTCATTAGTGACCTAGGAGCTGCTTCTTTTGTTACGTAGGGACAGTAGCAGGGACTCTGTGACACAAAAATGCAGGCAAGCAGTGGGCTTAGCACAGGAACAGGACAAGCTGCCTAGAGAAAGACAGACATCAGAAGAATCGGGTCTTGTGAGACTGGGGGAAAGAACACATTTAGGGTCTCCTTTGGGGGATCTCTACCCTGACCCTGTGGGTAATTTGTGATGGGTTGGTGTTCCCAGAAAACAGAGAGGGCAATGTCGCCTCTTGTCTCTCTTTTTTATCCCTGTCTTAGTTGGTTTCCTGTTGCTATAACAAAATACCAGTAGTTAGATACTTTTAGAAGAGTGGGGGTTGTTTAGCTCACAGTTGTAGAAGCTGAAAAAAAAAAACCACCCATCATCCAGTGGGCTCACCTGGTCCACTCTCAGGAGAGAACCCTGGCTGCCTCACAGCATGGCAGAGAAGGAAGAAGAAAGGGAAATGAACCCTGTGGTGAGAAAGAGGCCAGGCAGGCTGGAGTCAAACCAGCTCTTTTTGCAACCCAAAATCACAGGGCATAACCAGGTCCCTTGAGACCTACATTAATGGCATCCAAAATAATGTTGACGAGAAAACACTGTAGGTAACTAGAATCTGTGGGAGTTATCAAGACCGTTCGCTGTCAGGGCTTGAGTTGGTTTGCATCCTTAACAGTACTTCAGTATTTCTCATTTTACAAATGCAATGAATAAATAACTTTAAATCCAGCAGGTAGGTTACTTAACTAACATTGTACACAGAGTCCCATTATTGCTGCCATGATCTTGAATACTAAACTCGATGATCTGTGGGCTAAAGAACAGGTGCAGCAAAGACATGAGGACATGCAGACAAGCCTTGGGGACACAGGAAGGGCACGCAGAGGTGGCCACCAGTGTCTCATCACCCCTTCCTCCCACCCCGCCTCAGCTCAAAGGCACAGTAAACAACATCCTCAGAGGCTGAATTTATTCCTCTTACTTGCAGAAGAAAGCAGCTGTCAAGCACGGTTTTTACACATCAGTATATTCTAGGCTATTATCTTTAGTTTTCAAAATAGACATGGTCCAATTATATTTTCTGCAATTGTTTCTCTCTCTGTCTCAAAGCACCGAATACCTCTAGCCTGGTGTTGAAAAACACAATCACAAGCAACCAGAAGAAAAAGACCTAGTACTCTTGAGATGCTAATTTTTGCTTATTTCTTTCTTCCCACCGATAAAAGTAAAACCCAAACAGACCATAAAACATCAGGCTGGCTGGCATGTTCTTCCTCCTTAGTAGCATTTAGAAAGCAGCCTCCTGTGCTTCCAGATGCTTCTGAACCTTCAGCCATGAGGTTTTCAACCCATGTTGTTTTACTGGGGAGGACCAGAGGGTCTTAATTAGTACCCAGGTACTTGTTATCCTCAAGATCCCCCACTGCCTCCCTCTCTTCTTCCCTCCCTCCAACCACTGGCACGCTGATTTCCCCAGCACTCAGATCTAATTCGGCACAAATGCTTAATAAGGTTGTAGAGATTTAATACAATTAGGAGTGTTGTTCACAAATTAACCAATCCATTAACACTCCTGCAATGAAACAATTCCAGAGAAAACATGGGTCTTGTGAGGATGAGAAGACCGGCAGCTAAGGGTGCTATCTGTTCTTCATATAGCCCACCACCCTGTTTTTCACGCCTCTATCTCCATGCCTTGCACTTTCCATGTCTCAGCACTAAGAGATAGAGGTGAATTTTGACACCAGGAAGTCTTTTCTGTCATTCAGCATCTAAAAAAAAAAAAAAACAAAAAACAAAAAACAGGAGGAAGCAGTATGTTCCCAAGTACAGGATCATCAAAGCTCTTCTGCCAAACAGTCACAGACCTGACAACCCTCCCCAGGAGCCATTATGAGTAACTTCATTGAATGATGGATAGACATATCAAAGGATGCCTAGAAAACAGCACAAGGGACAGCAGCAAGGCTCCTGCCTGCACTACGCAAATAGCCACCATCTTATTTAAGTTTACGGGCTAGAGATGGCTGAATGGGTAAGAATACTTGCTACAGGAACACGGAGACCCGAGTTCTGATCCCCGGCATTCATGTAAGAAACCAGGTGTGACTACACACATCTGTAATCTCAATACTGGGGTTTGGGGGAGCTCAGGGGAATCCCTGGGGCTTGCAGCCTAATAGCCTAGCCCCCAAGTAGAGAGCTCCAGGTTCAGTGAAAAACCTGTGTCAAGGGCATCATGTGGCAACTGACAGGGGGGGACATCTTCCCTTTGGTCTCTGCACTCCTATACACAGATATACACTGGCAAATGTACATGTACACATATGCACATAGAACCACACATATAAAGTATAGACATTCTGGTTTATAGTCTATGCATTTCCAGAGACATCAATAATGTTTTGATCTAATTAAAGTGGGATTGTTCAAAATACATGACTTTTGCCATTTGGGTCTGCCCCAGGCCATACCTGTCAAGGTCACTGATAGCTTCCCATAATTTTTGTCCTCAACAGAGGTGGCATGAAAGCCTGTTGCATAAGTACACTGATCTTTATGTCCCCCATACAGTCTCCCCCCTCTTTAACCTCTAGAGATAACATGTAGATGAAGACACCTCCTGGCTTCACTGTGTATTTTCTGTCTTATTTCCACACAATAAACCCATCATGTTTGAGTAAAGCCCTCCTATGCTCCAAGTATTCCAATGAATCATCTTTGCACCTCTAGGGGTGTCATGTTGAAGGACTCTCTTGTAGAACCCATCACCTTGGAAACAGCCACTGATCAAGGGACTGACCACAGTGAGCTGCCACCTTCATGTTCTCTTCAGGCCACTCAAAGTACATTAGAATATTCTTCTACACAAAAGTTTACTAAACTACTGGCTAGAAGCTACCTTGGTATTTCCTGAAAGACAAAGGAGAAATACAGCTTTATATCCATTTAAAGAAACAGCATCATCATTTTCCTCTGATCGCCAAAGTTCCGCCACACTGCAGCCCTCACTGGAAACCTCACAAGCCATGTGGCTTCTATTCCAGCTCCACAAGGTCAGTTCCACACCAGAGAAACACCAGGAAGACCAAATGCAATGTGGTAAATCCCCAATAATTCATGGCGCAACGGCACAGTGTCTGTACCACCAACTCAGTCCCTGTGTTTCCCCTCCAGGTTGTTTCCTGAAACAAAGTGAGGATTCAATTAGAAACCGTCAACTGGCCAGAAGATTTGTTTATGTAATGGGAAGTAACTGTGCTACAAGATTCTTTCCAGTCCAACCAGTGGATTCTGTTCACCTAATTACAGCTGGCTCCCCACAGTCAGGGGCTCTGTGCCTGTGAATCTACCTCATCAACCTCAGCTTGAAAACACTGAGGGGGAAAAAACATCAGACAAGCAGACAGACTTTCTGGCCTCCACTCCCCAAACAATAAGCATGACAGCCATTTCTATTGCGTGTTTTATGTTAGAGATTATAAGTAATCTAGAGGTAATTCAAAACGTGCATGCAGGGGAAGATCATGTGCCAGTGATGTGCCTCCTCATGACAGTTACTTGACCATCCACAGGCTTGTTGTCCACAGAGGACCTGCAGCCAATCCCCAACATGACTGCAAAACCACTGAATTAAAGGGTCACAAGCTCACGTCTGACATCAGCAATTTTTTTAAAATCATTGCCTGTTTTGATATCAGAAGAGAAAGTTGAGGCAGAATTATTAAGGGCCCAGACTAAGAACTAAGTTACTCAAAACCGGAGTTTTCCTTGGTTCCTTCTAGGCCACCATGTCTACATACTGAGACCCTGTTTCAAAAAAAAAAAAAAATTCAAAGTCGGAGTGACAGAGGGCACTGCCCAGTGTCAACCATTGGCCTGCATGTGCATGCCCATATGTGTGGAGGCACACGCACACACACATACACTACAAATTCATAGGAATTACACATATAACTGAATCCTTAAGTTTATAAAAACTAATGCATTTATTTCTGCAATTATAAACATGATTCTTGTTTTTATAAATCTTTAATATATGTATTTATTTGGGAGGGCGTATACGTGATACGGCATTTAGTGGACGACGTCAATGTCTAGAAGTTATTTCTCTCCATCCTCCATCCTCATGAAGGTTCCTGGGACAACCTCATGGTGCCCGGAACCAGAATGCCTCCTTGGAGGCAAGCACCTTTACCTATTTAGTTGTCTCTCTGAGCCATGAGCATGATAATTACTTAATTTCTCCCAGATCCCAGAGCTCACAGACTCTCAGACATTCCACAGGAAGCATGAAGCTTCTCACTCATATCTCAGTCATCCTGAGGCGCTCACAGTACCTCGTCCATGAATGAATGAGAAACAGTGAATTTGTCACTTTTGTAAGTCATCACAAACATAATCCTGCAAAACCATGCTACTTTACAACCAACTAACCTGCTTTAAGTAATGTGTCAAATTTTTTTTTTAGCATTTAACATTGCTCCCTCAAAAACGCAAACTGAAATTATTTGAAATTAAAATCTGAGTTGGGCCTTTCCCAATAGACAGCAGGCCTTCTTTGAATGACAGCTTTGATGCAGACTGCTTTTCTCAGCAAGTCATGTGACAGATAGCTCTTAGTCACTGATTAGCCTAAATCTTCTCTTTACATATATAGTATAAATAGCACAGAATAATAAATAGATATTCATATGCATATCTAAAATACTCATTGACTAAGGAAATTAACAGTTTTTGTTTTCATGACCATTTCTAGATATATCTGTGTTAAACAAGGTATGTTCAAGTTAAAACGTAGCAGGTGTAATTAACAGCCATTGATAGCGCTTGCAAAGCTCCTGGTCTGGGCCACTGTAAATGATAAGAACATGCATGCTTAAGACACACAGTTGGTTTCCAAGAAGTCTTGGTTTAAGAATTTTGATAATGAACTCAATTAAAGGTCAACATATAGGCCACTATAAGTAATTCTTGTGTGTAGGAAGATGGGCCAGTAGGTAAAGTGCCTGTTGAACAAGCAGGAGAGCCTGACTTTGATCTCTAGCGTCCACACAAAGGTGGGGTGTGGTAGCAAGCATCTGTAGCACAAGCACTGGGGCCATGGGAAGCTCAGGGTGGAGCCAGAATGGCTGAAATAGTGAGACACCAGAAAAAAAAAAAACAGGACAAAGAGCAATGGAGGAAGATACCCAGACACACACACACACACACACACACATAAACAAATACACACAAACATGGACAGGCACACCCATGCAGGCAGACACATATACCATATACACAGATATACACATACAGACATAAACACACACATGCAAGCACATGCACATACACATATAAACATATACGCACATACACATACCACATATACATACACACACAGATATACACACACATATTCAAGCACATGTATACATACACATATACACATATACACATATACACATGCACTGGCAGATACACATATGACATACACAAACATAGAAACACACAGGCAGACATACAAACACATATACATACACACACAGGCAGACATACACACACATACATACATGCATGCATGCACATGCACACACACACATGCATACACACATACATACACATATATGCACACACACACATATACACATGCACACAGACACATACACACACACATACACAAACATACACAGACACACCCAAACACTCATGTGCACTTAAATATGAATACACTGCATGTGCACACATATGTACACATAAAAGATAAAAATGTAACTATTAGTGTCCAATAAAAATGTGAATGTTAGTGTGAAACCTGAAAAGAATTAAAAGGAGCGGTGCCATTCTGATAGGAGACCTCGTCTCACCATCTGTGAACATTAGCCAAATTTCTCAGACATGTTTATAAAAGTGAAACTGGAAATAGAATCAGTGCTAAATCCAGTTTCACTTCAGCAGTAAATAATAGCATCCACAGAGAAATGAGCTAATTCTTTGAAAGCTCAATTGATTTCTGAAATAGTTTCCTAATAAACTTAACAATAATTCAACTGTATACTAATAAATTTAGTGATGACTCAGTTGAATAAAATTTATTACTTAACATTTTATGCTTCCATAAAATTAAAGATGAAGCTAAAATTTCAAATATATGTATCTGCAGAGTAGTTTTATAAGTAAGCAGAAAAATATGTTCAAGCCTAAACATATTGTAATAGGATACAGCTCTGTGGAGAAATGTAATGGAAAGCCAACTCAAGGAGAGAAATTAATGAGGTCTATTTTATATCAGTTAAATAA